ATTCGTATTGATAATAGTAACATGAAATCTCAAATAAAATAGTATCGATCGTATGTAATAATAAAAAGATGTAATAATTTAATCATCACATTGTCTTTATTCAAAGTTTTTCGCGTAATTTCTTTATTTCAACTTCCGTTAATACTCTCTTTATCTCTGATTCGTCACTAACACGACTCTTAACTCTGACTGATTCCTATACGCATCTTTTTCAACCTTTTCTCTTGTCCACGTCTCTTTTTCTTTCTTTATTTTTTTCTCTCGCTTCATGCAAGCGTTCCCAAAAGCATTCAAACGCATTCAATCATAAACCTTGGATGGTTGTGAACATATTTTGTTCATTCGATAACTGAAGTACTCTTCAACAGACTTCTTCCACATGTCTGGCTCTCTAGATTCTGGATCAAGTATCCTTCTTTCACGTCCATTCATCTGTACCTTAATCGGCCTTAATTCGCTCTATATAAATACACGCTATCGTTTCTATAGCATAAACATCGGGTTACGCGTTTCGAAATTTTGTTTTTCATATATTAATTTCATTAATTTTAATCTGCTGACAATATATTTTTAACATATGCAGTCACTTTTCACAGGAAAAAATTTAAATCATCGATTTTCAGTTTCAAAGATTGAACGTTGTATATCGTTCCATTGGAAGTATCTACGGATCTATAGGAGTTTGCTCGGCGAAATAAAATACTTGCTCAGTTTATAACTGAGGACACAGACGTAGAACTGTGGTGTATGGAGCAAATAATACCAATGAATTTGTTTCTAAGCTTTCCAAGAAGTAAAGATCCTTCAAGATCCACCCTTAACTATACGCGAGATTTTCTATCTGCGCTTCACACACTGTACTAACGAAGAAAAACATGCAGTTTATAAAAGTCAAGATGCAGAGAACGAGAAAAGAGAGTACGAAGAAACACGATTACATATTACACTAGGCATGTATTTATTAGTTGCTCTTTTAAATGTAAAAAATTATTTCGGTATTCTCATTCGTAACACAATATTCTTGTAATTAATTTCTCGTAATTAAATCGTCTTCAAATCATCGCTCAGTGAGCGTAGTGAGATTTATAGCGCGAAATTCAAAAGCAACGGATTACAATGTAAGTATCGGATATCATTATATGCAGAATGATATATAATCATAGGTTTCGATCTTTTCAAAGCACGCGAATGTATCGAAGCGAACGATTAGTTATATAAAAGAAAAAAAAAAAAAAAAAACGAAATCTCCACGATTAATATTGGCGCGTTTGAATGCTATCGCTTAACAAGCACACGTGCAGCCATTGTTCTCTGTTCGTAAATTAAACAGCGTTACCCTTTCAGAACGATGCGTCTATTCTTAAACCACGAGAGAGAACAAACCTTGCTTTATCCCTAAAAATGAAAAAAGTTTAAAATCTGTCGATAGCGGGAAATGACTCTCGGTTGTGCGCCTCAGCTGCTTCGTGAAGTCAACCTCATCGTTGCACATACACGATCGAGACGAAAGTTTTCGCGGCATTAATTGTCGACGTATACGATGAACGAAAGTTTCGGGTACTTGTGATTAAACTATTTAAACAGTTGAACGATACGCGTACATCCAGGTCGAGAATATTCCGCGTGGTATTTTCAATTTGTGCGCTCTCATCAGTGCTCTTACGCTGCGTGGCTGCGATGCAAACTCGAACTCGATGCGCGTTATCAGCGAAATATCAAAACCGGTGCGAACGATCGTTGGTTCGTTAAAAGATTAAATCATTCTTGAATAATCCGAGTCCGTTGGCGTAACCGGTGCCGTTATTGTCCCGCGATACGAGATTGCGAAAATGAATTATTCGATTACTATAGCCGTCCATTGGACGCTGACGCGTATAGGTGAGCGTCGGGCAGTCCCGGTGCATGCGAGACAAGCTGCAAATTCGATTACGTTAGAAACAGCATTTGGCGCTCAGCCCGCATTAGCCGTGCATTGGTTACTTGCCCGATTAATTTGTCGCCCGATTCACTGTTGCAACACCGTGTCATTCGAAGATACGCATCGCGCCGCTGCCATTTTCCGGCCACGCGAGAACGTGGACGCCGATGCGGCGGGAAGATCGATAGACCTTCGAGTTGTTAAGGTGGTGGGTATCTAATTAAAGAGAGAAACACGCGCGTTCAAAGGGATACGACGCCATCGGACGCTATACGGCGCATAGTGCACAACTTCAATAACAATTTAAACCGACCACGACCGTACACGACATCATGGGAACTAACGCAGCAAAGGATGCGGAGCGTCACGAAAATATTTCTCATCACCTGTAGCAAACTAATGACAGAGGCGGGTCCGGCGCACAAAGTAACGTCGATCGTTACTAAACCCCCTCGCACGATCGTCGCGATAAAATTACCGAGCCATTAAGATACCGTGGGCACCGGCGTGTACTTTAATTACAGAAAGATCTCGTTAGAAAAACGGTCGTAAGGTTGTGTGATTTACGGCGCGTTTATCCGCGAATTTGCATATCGCGTGTATGGGATCGTGTATACTCGCGCGACGAGCCAGTTGCCTAAGCGGAGGCGCAAACACGCCGGCGAAGAATTATACAGGTCGATTATTTGCTTTCCTCTGTGCTCGATCCACACACTGCTGGCGATCAAACGACGGAGTTTCCACGGCGAACCGTGCTGTGAACACGGGAAAAGAACGAGAGACACTTCCGTTCTTCCTTTTTCCCCGGCCACGAATTTATATCCCGTCCCGACAACGCGAGATTACTCGGAAGTTATACGACGTATCTAACGTTCGTTCGTTCGTTTCCCGTTCGGCCGCGATAGCTTCGCGCACCAGTTTCGCAAAACTTGCAGCCAAAACTTGCGAAACGAGAGTCCGTTGCCCCCTTGCTTGCTGTCGTTATTTATTTACGTTTTGTTTGCCCGCCGGCGGCAAAGGAACTCGCGTTCAAATATCGCGAAGAGAGCGGCAGAATGGGAGAAAATGAAGACGAGAGAGAGATACATGCGAAATACAAAATGAAATAAATATCGTTCGAGTTAATAGGACATTCAATTGTAGGAGAGCAATCTCTCTCTTTCTCTCTCTCTCTCT